AAGAAAAAAGGTTCTGAAAGAACATCATTCAAGATTGCAAAATTTTCATAGAATTTCTAGATTTCTATAGTAGACTAATATTCCTGTTAAGAACTCAACCTCCCAATAATTCCCATGTCAGACAGATCATGAAGATTCAAAAGGATGAAATTAAATGAATGGAGAAGAGTATACAGCAATGGTGGCTGCCACAACCGTGATTAATCCATCCACTTGGAAAGTTCACGGCAACTTAAGGACAATAATCGCGTGAGATCCCACATCAATTGGAGAGAGGAACGAGTGTCAGCAAGGACGCTGGACCCTGAAGAGAGTGGATTGTGAGATCCCACAATTGGAGAAGAGAACGAGTGCCAACGAGGACATTGGGCTCCAAAAGAGGGTGGGTGGATTGTGAGATCTCACGTCGGTTGGAGAGAGGAACAAAGTATTCTTTATAAAGGTGTGGAAACAGCCCTAGCAGATGTCCTCAAAGGAAAACCCAAAGAGAACAATATCTACTAGCAGCGGGTTTAGACTTGCTTGGGCTCTTACAAATCATGCATTCTCCATAGACCATAACATCTATTCAACTCGGTGATTCAGCTTAGAATTGGCATAAGATAATACATGTAGTTGAACACAAGAAGAAGAAGATAAAAAGGCATTAGCTAAGCAAATTTATCCCAAGACCATCACTAAGCTAGTGATAACATTCCATGTCCAAGATTTAGAATCTAAATCCAACACCTAATGACTCTTGCATTCCTCGGATCCCCTGCCCATGGCTGCCTCATGTTCTACAAGTAGGTAACGCAGCCATGTTGCAAAAGAGGTAGGGAAAGCGAGAGTCGTGGTTTCTAAATTTCGGACACGGGGCACTCCAAAGTCTTTGCCCGTTAGCCCCAATATTATCAGAGGATAGTCTCAGATTAAGAGCCTTAACCTATATTCAAGACGTAGTTTGTTTGTCTCAAACTACAAGTTTCAAGCTTGTTAATCCTGCTTACTATACACAAATCATGTTTATATGAACTCAAGTCTATGGAACACGAGGATTAAGAAGAATAATGGAGAACTAAGCGCAGGTTTCAGACAAGAAAAGAGGCAGAAAATGAAGCGCATAGAGCATAGAGCATAGAATCATGAACAGCCTTCCTTTCCATTTTTCAATATCTTAGAACTTCCTCACATGATATTACATATGTACAAAAAGGAAACCATGAAGAGACAGGAGAAGGATTCTATTTGTTTCAGTTCTTCCAGCAGATCAAAATGCAAGGAATAAAAAGTGGAAGAAATTCAAAATAAAATACAGCTTTGGACAAGTGTACCTTGCATTCTGCTTCACTCGTATCTCTTTCTTTTCCCTTGAAAATGCAAAAGTTTTGTCGGTTGCTTTGTCTGGACTGCCTCTTCTTCTGCAGTCTGGATGATTGTGGGCTCGCAGGCTGTGGGCACTTTGGCGCCTCTTCATTACCATATTCCCACACAAAACTTTTTCTTTTTCTTCTTCATTACCAAGAAGTAATGCTACACCACTGGCCTGACATCTTTTTTCTTGTCTTTAACCTGTAATAATTCAGGCACCAGGACATCAGATGCGCTCACTAGCTAGCCAAAAGAGTACAAATCTACTGTAAATTGGACTTGTGGATTGTTCTTATTTCTATGTTTACTCTCCTGAAGAAGAAGGCAAGTTTTTGAAATGAATTACATGAATCAAGATTGCTAAGAACAAATTGTTCATGTTCTTCACGTCTCTAAGTGTAACAAAAATGAAGTCCATTCAAAACTTCAAGTTTCAGACTAGACTAGAAGTTGTCTGTTTCAAGTTTGATGGCGGTCAATTTAGAAACACCATCTAAATTTTCCAATGATTCACGTGGGTCTCTCTAATCTTACAACCACAACAGCAAAATAGACAAAGAACAGATGAAATCTTCATTCTTCTCAAACTAATTCTTAAATCAAAGGGAAAAAAGGCAAAACAAGTAAACAGACAACTTCTTAGCACATCCAACTTACCAGAGAGAGGTCTCAATCCCGGAAAATCACAGATTTGGCAATACCCATCAGCGGTTTCAAGCAATCCGGAGTAAATTTCCGGGCAAACAAGTAAGAATCGGAATAGTTGGATTTCCGGAGCTGGTGAATAAGCTTAGGAGAAACCTCTGAACTTCGATAAGTATATGGATGGCCATTAGCAGTCCCAGTCCAATTAACACGAGTAAGAGTGTATTGGGTACAGCCATTCAGATCCATCATCGAAAGAAGAGTTGGAAAATAGTGTTCTTCAGGATAACAATCATCAGAAGTTTTGCAAGGAATCTTAAATTTCCTCCATAACATCCGATCATTAACAACCAGCAACGCGTGCTTTCTAGTCAACACGAAGAACTGGGATCCAACACGAAACTTCTCAAAGGGAACCTCAGGCATCATGGTGAGGCGACCCCTCGCATTATACCTCTGCCAAAGATGCCGTTCTTTCGACACAATCTCAATAAAACTCTTGAATCGAATTCTCACACCGAGATGGGTCAGCTCGGATTTAGAGGAAGTCGAATCAAAAGTGGTCGAAGAAAACAGAGAGTTATAAACATAAGAAAAGGAATGAAGAGGGATACAATACTGAGACAAGAGAGCGAAATACGCATTGGCCGGATCATCAATAATGGCCGTCGCAATGAGGCGGCGCATGGCAGAGATAAGCGTGGGAGACCCACGATAAGTCCGCTTGGAAACAATAAAACGACCCAAAAAAGGGCCGGCAGGACGCGTAATGTTAACAGAGGGATCAGCATGAACATAAAGATTGTAGAGATCCGAGTTATTGGGGAAGAATCGAATCCAAAGAGGAGCAAAATGGAGGTCAGAATTAGTGAGAAAGAGGAACGCAATCTTCAATTTGGGGTTAGTGGAGGAGAGACGCGAGAAGGCAGATGGGTTGTTGGGATTAGATCCGGCGGCGGCGCGATTGAAGAGGAAGAGATCGTCGTGTTCGTCAGGGGAGGCGATTGGGATTGATTGAGGGGTAGAAGGGATGAATCTCGGGGCAAGAAGGAAGAGGATTGGGAGAGAAAGGAGGAGGGAGAAGGAGAGAACGAATGGGGTTGAGAACATGGAGGGAAGTGGGAGAGGAATTACGAGTCTGAAGGCGGCGGGAAAATGGGAAGAAGTGGATGAAAATCTGGGAGTTCCAGAATGGGAAAAATGGTGATGAAGGTCTGGAATTGTGGCTGAAGGAAGATGAAATGGCGGAGAATTAGGGTTTCTGGGAGAGCTTAGATTCATCAAACTGAGCTCCTCTCACCTCTCTCTCTCTCTCTTCACACAGAACAACACCAGAGACAGAAAAGCTTCTGAGAATTGCAATGGCGGAGACGAAGACTGAGCTTCAATGCAGCTGCCCGAAGACAAAATGGGCAGCCTTTCGCCGGATTTTTTTATTATTTATTATTACTAATAATAAACACTTGTACGGTCAGTTGCCATTTATGTAAAATTACTGTTAAATTAATAAAAATATTTAGTTTTTTTTTTTTTTTACTCTTAAATATTCATTAAATTTTAAGTATAATATTAATATAAACTAATTTTTAAAAGTCTTCTAAATAAATAAATCTAAGAAAATGTTAATATTATTTTTAAAAGTTTATGTGTTTTTTTATTAATTTAAACTATATAAATTTAAAATTTTAAAATTAATATACATTTGATCTTATTTTATATTTTATAAGTAATAAATTGAAATTTAAAAATTTTAATAATTAAAACTTGTTCATTAAATTAACTTAATAAATTTCTTTTAATATTTATAATAATATGTTTGGTGCTGGTCTTGTTCCTAAATTTTATTTAGTTAAATTAAATGCTTCCATCGTTTTTAATAAATAAATGCATTCCATGTGTAATTATGACTTCTAAAAATAGAATAAAAATTTTGTAATTTTATTTTAGCATTAATTGCACGTTTTCTATCAATTTGCACGTTATTTTATTTTATATCACTCTCGATCTTTTTTTTTTTTTAAATGTGTTATATGATCCGTCCTCGACAGCATCTTGACATTTATTTGTATCAATTCTTGGATAAACGCCACTTGAAGGTCAACTCTTGGATAAACGTCACAACTTATTGTCACTCTTGACTTGACCACTTTCTAAGGAGCACCATCATCGAGAATTGTGGCATTATGACTTCTAAAAATAGAAAGAAGCTTAGTTGCATGTTTTTAAGTAGATTTTCTTGCTGTTTTATTCTATGTCAATTTCAAGCGTTTTGTGTGTGTGTGTGTTAGATGATGCAAATGTGTTAGATGATGACATTTATTTGTGTTGACCCTTACGTGGTTGAATACGCGCCACCTGAACATAACTACTGCCTTGTTTATCTGTCTGCATGTGGGAGTCATAACTTATTGTTGCCCTCGATGACTTTTTAAGAGGCACCGTCACATCGTGAATTGTGATTCTACTCCACTTAATTAGAATAATTATCGTTATAAAGGTTATTCATTTTTTAAGAAATTAAAGAAAAAATATCATAAAGTATTTTTTTTATTCAAAATTTAAGGATAAAAATAAAATATTATTTTTTTATTTAATTAATTTTAAAGTAATAAAAAAAATGTTTAATTTCTAGAATTTTGTTCAATAATTATCTAAACTTTTTTTAAATTTTATATATTTTACTAATGAAAAATAAAATAATGGGTAGGTCTAACCATTTTGTTTGATCAACAAAAGTTGACTTTTTTATTTAAAAAAAAAAATTGAATATTTAATTAATTTTAACTTAAATCTATCATTTTTGAATATGTTCGAAATTATATATTTAAATCAGTTGAACTATATTTAAGTTGACACATCATCAATTAGCTAAAAAGTATTTACTGACTTATTTAGAAAATATAACTCAATCTTCTCCCTTCATTCTTAGTTCTCGACAAATCCATTCGAGCTCGAGAATGACTAATTTTTCTCGATCGTTGTAACCTTGTTCGAGCCCGGACAAGTAAAAAAAGCCAATATAGTATTTGTTTTCTACATCAAGAGTGGCTTTCAGCCATAAGTTCACAACAAAAATAGAAGGGAGTAAGGGAATGAAGAAGTGCCAAAGAGCCACATGGTTTGAAGACCATAAATAGAGATCATAATTACAGACTCATCCAAACATACCAACCTTATTCCCACAGACCTCACTAAGAATTAAACTCAGAAATTCAAAGGAACACAAGTTTGCGCGTGACCGACCCGACCCGACCACAACATGGCATTGCCCTATTTACACATGATCCTGCAGCACCTCCTCAAAGACTATACTCACCGTTTGGAATGTGTTTAGTTCACATATCAGTTTTGTGATCCGGGATTTGCAGATTTCGAGTCGCCTCTTGCGATCGGCTTGGGTTTGTCGGTCACTTTGCCAGCAGCAGTTCTATTGGAATTTCTCGCCCCTTGATTTTGACTACCGGGGTCTGCAACTGTTCAAATAAAATGCAGATCAAGAGCTAACAAAAGTATCAGACATCTACGTTATGCATACCGAACGAGAGACTACGAGTAAAAAGAGTTGGTAAACTCACCATTGTTAGGCATGGATAATCGCTTCTTAGCGTTTTTTACCAATGGCGTGGATCTCTCTTTCGGATTGCTATGGGATCTCAAACCGGTATCTACTTTAGGCTTGACTTCGTCGAATGGCCTCTCAGGTCGAACTTTATACTTGGGCTTTTGAATCTGTGCACTGGATACCTCTACAATGCCAGGTGATTGAGTGGGAGATGATGAACCATATCCATCAGAGTGTGAGGCAGCGGTTTTTTGGCTTGAGAGGTTTGATTGATCAGTCACTAAGTTTGGTTTCTTGCTGGTCGTTTTTGAATAGGATTTCGTGTTACTTTTTCCCTCAGCTGATCCGTTCTCGCGAATCATCACTCCGTCTCTGAGATTAATATCGAGAAAGCGGTTTTCCCATGGACGAACAGCCATCCATCTTTCCAACCAGTTCCAACCCCAGCTGCTTTTATCAGGTTCGAACTCGGAGAGGGCAGCCCGCTGTCTCGATCCTGCTTGCCACTGGAGGTCAGAGAAAATTTATAAGAGTGTGGAAACCTGGAAGGAAAAACCTACAGAGAACAATATCTGCTAGCGGTGGGCTTGGGTTATTACAAATGATATCAGAGTCAAACACTGGATGGTGCGCCAGCAAGGATGTTTGGAGATGGATTGTGAGATCCCACGTCGGTTGGAGAGGAAAACGAAGCATTCTTTACAAGGGTGTGAAAACCTCTCCTTAGTAGACGCGTTTCAAAACCTTAAGGGAAAGCCTGGAAGGGAAAGCTCAAATAAGACAATATGCTAGCGGTGGGTTTGGGCTGTTACAAATGGTATCAGAGCCAGACACTGGGCGGTGTGCCAGCGAGGACATTGGGTCCCCAAGGGGGATGGATTGTGAGAACCCACATCGGTTGGAGAGGAGAACGAAGCATTCCTTAGAAAGTTGTGGAAACCTCTTCCTAGTAGACGCATTTAAAAACCTTGAAGGGAAGCCTAGAAGGGAAAGCCCGAAGAAGACAATATCCGCTAGCGGTGAGCTACATACAATACATCTAGTACTATCGGAGGCATCAAATAAACACCCGAATTTGTTTCCATTTTCTTGGAAAAGGAAAGCCAACTGACTGACAGCTAAAGGGGTAAGTAGGAAATGCACTCAACAAATAGAGCAGATGAGGGATGAAAGTGTTCTACCTGATGAGCCAGAGCATATGCCATAGCTCTCTCACGCTTAGCTGCAGCCTCCTGCCTTTTTAATAATTTTACTTGAATCTCTTCAACCGATCCAACACTGTCGCACCAACCTTCCTGTAACGTAACCACGCTCAGTTAAGAGTATCACAAAAAGCATTCCGCTATCAGTTATAAGTTATAAAGACATCAAACAATGTAATATTGTGACACACGTCATGCCATGAAAATGGTAAATGAAGTGTTATAGCGTCTACAACCAAAATGGAATCATGTTCTTTCTATTATCTTGTTTTCTATCAGGATAGGCGGCTAATACTATTCTAATAAGTTCCGTCGTGAAAGTGAAACTCGCCCTGTGGTCGGCCTTGTTTTGGACAGTAGAACGGGAAGAATTATATCCTTACAGCAAAATAAGTTTGACCATCTAAAATTGATCTAGTCTAACTATAAAAATGCACATAAACGTATACAAATGTTTTATGTTTGTAATCACACAAAACAATTATTGTTCTTACTTCAATTTCACGAACACGGGCTTGGTTTTCAAGTTGTTGTTGAATTTTCTGCTGTGCAGTTTCACTTTCCAATGCAATACGTACACGCCTTGCTCGAACACGAGCCTGGACTCTCACTAAAGCTTGCATACAGCGAAGAGTTATTGCAGCTTGTTTTCTGACAGCATGACCCCTAACAAGAGCTTGAAGTCTAACCAATCCCTTCAGAGCTCGGAGAGCTCTTCTAGCCTGAATGGAAATTTTCATTGTTTCATTACAAAAATAGATAGCTGAAAAACTTTAAAGTAAAATATAGCAGACATTATGCGTGGCAATACCAGAAACGATCGAAACATTGTTTGGATACGTATAGCCGCCTGTTCTTCTATATCATTCTGTCGACTACGCAATGCATCACATGTTTGAAGTGAACCAGAAGGAATAGAAGCGGCTTCTGGATCCGAAAGGGCATTGGACTCTTCAACAAATGAGGTAAAGTTTGAATTGAACTCCTGCTGAAGTTTATCAGCATCGATATCAACAGAATGCTTTCTCCGATGCCAAAACTTGTTCGTAATTGTCCTCTGTATGATTATAAGGATAAAGTATTTCAATTAGTTCGCAAGAAAAAATCAAGAAAGTAACTGGAGATTCAGCCATCTGTCTTCAGGGGGGGAAAGACGAGCGTATACAGAGGCATAAAAGTTTCTAAGAGTAATGAAGGGCTACAATAGTAGAAGTTTCAACGCCCACTCTTCCCTAATCGGCTGACCCCAAGTCACTGAGCATGAAAGATGCTCGAAATCCTTGCAGCCACAGCCTAAACTTCCCACCTTCCCACAAAGGGGATCATATTGATCACAAAACCAATGCTAAATAGCTACCTGATTCTAGCAGAATATGCATGAAATGGCTGTGGCATAAAGATAATGGGTAACTAAGAAGTTTATTGGTATCTTCTTTTTACAAAGCAATGTAGCTTCGACGGGTGATTTAACCGACATTACTTTTTCTTCCGTTGCGAAAAAAGTACTCCATTTTTTACGTGAATTGTGATGCTATAATTGCCAACAAAAGTTAACTTTAGGTGTTAATTAGCTTCCTTTCACATACGGAACTATGAACTTCAAACTCGTGTGACAAATAGATAGATCAAGTAATAAGTAAAAACAAAAATTATCATCGAACATTGATGGGAAGGGTATAGATACCGCATTTTCGTCATGTTCTGATGACTGAGATTTTTCCGATTTCTTCGAACCGACTAATGCTTTGAACCATTTTCCTGAAACACCCATGGTGCATTCAATAGTGTTGGCTAAGAACAGACCAACAGCTAGAAACTGTGGTTCAAAAAGAACATGTTAGAAAAGAAAACCAGAAAGTAAATACTGCAGAAGGAAAAGTAGTTCGTTGCATGTTCTAAAAATGAACAAACTTAGGGTGTGGAAACCTCTCCATAGCAGACGCGTTTTAAAACCTCGAGGGGAAGGCTGGAAGGGAAAGCTCAAAGAGGATAATATATGCTAGCGGTGGGCTTAGGCTTGGGCTGTTACAAATGGTATCAGAGCCAGACACCGGGCGGTGTGCAAGCGAGAATGTTGGGCCACCAAGGGGTTGAATTGTGAGATCCCACATTGGTTGGAGAGGGGAACGAAGCATTTCTTATAAGGGTGTGCACCTTTCCCTAGTAGACACGTTTTAAAATCTTGAGAGAAAGCCCAAAGAGAACAATATCTACTAGCGATGAACTTAGGCTGTTACAAATGGTATCAGAGCCAGACATTGGGCGGTGTGCCAGAGAGAACGCTGGCCCCCAAGGGGGTATAGTGTGGAAACCTCTCCCTAGCAGACGCGTTTTAAAACCTTGAGGGAAAGCCTAGAAGGGAAAGCCTAAAGAGAACAATATATGCTAGCGATGGGCTTGGGCTATTACATCTTCATATTGACCAAATGAACAAAAGAAAACTATAGTTGAATGTGAAGAGGCACCAACCTCAAAAATTTTGGATCACCACACTTCAACGCAGTCAATCAAGTTCGTTTCAGTTACCACGATTCCGAACTTCCCAGATTTCTTGCAACCTATAGAGAACAGAAGATGAACTTCACCATTAAAAACATTCCCACCACAATATCGATAGAGATAAAGTTCACGAACTCCCAAACAAAAATTTACAAGTTTAAGGTAGCAAAATGAAGTTCCCATATCATTAATTCCATCCTCCTATATGAATGTTCATCTCAATATGAGTAGTAATGATATCAGGTGGGTGACCCAACACAAGAAAAACATTTACAAAAGGAGAACTTCATGAACATGCATCAATGATGAACAATTCTGCAAGAGGAATATAGAGGCCTGGCCTTGTTCTTGAGCACATTTATTAGGAACCAAAACAAATAAAAGAATTCCCAGAAGACTCAAGAACACCGAAACCTATAGTAAAACCCCCAAATGCAAATTACATCCTCCTGCATAATTTAAGCATCTAAATCAAACAATCGAACCCAAAACAGCACTTGGAAGTTTAAAACGCTCAAGCAATGCTGGTAGCCAAAGCAACAAAACCCTTTTAAAAACGAACAAGAACAGGATCAGAACTCGAGTTTGAGTAGCACAAACAGCACAGTAACTAAAACAGAGCAGATCCACACAAATTAGTGTCCAGAAAAGAGAAATTGACCTAAGAACTCAGTTCATAGTGAGTGGAAGGAAGTTGAAGAGCAAGAAAGTCAATGAGGGAAGTGTGGGGGAAGGGCGATGATACCTTAGGAGCCGTTTGATCCATCAAGCAGTCAAAATTAGTCAACCCCAACTGAGTTCAATCATTTGGGTCACCAAAAATTTTCAAATTGGTTGAAGATTTGTCGCAGTAGACTCATTCTATCCACCACCCATCATGTGTTTCAGCAACACGAGGTCCGTCATCTTCAACCTGATAAAAAGAAGTGAGCCAGAGAGAAGGGCAAAGAGGTAAAAGAAAAAACCCCGCCCGGGAAAATATTAGAACTGCAAGGGAACGACGACGTTTTGGGTGGCGAGTGGAAGATCCATCCCATTGACATGAATTCGGGTGAGACCCCACGCCTGGCCTTCATGATTGGACGCACGTTTGTTCTTCAACCGTTAATTTTTCATTTTTTATAGAATTCAGAATTTTAATAATTCTAATTTTATTATAACTTTCGAGAAAATAATTTTTAAATTTATTATTAGATTTGGATCGCTAAAAGGAAAACAAATTTAACATGGGTGTTGAGGTATGATAGATTTGTTAGGATTTATTTAATTTATAACAAGCACTAGGCTAAGAATTCCAATCTCTATTTTCTATTTTTCTTGAACCGAAGTTCGGTTTAGAGTTGATTTTGATCGAAAGTCGAGAAAGACCAACCAGATTATACCCGAGCGGGATGTTGAAGAAAGCTAGCATATTGAAGAACTTGCATTTGTCCAGAAGATTTTATAAACACACAAACAACAACACGAGTCGGGTCAAATCCTTGTAGTAGCAGTAGTCGAAATATTACACATACTGAAGCTGAAAAACAGAGAAAGTCGCAGGAACATTAACTTCAACTGGCAATTTTCAACTCTCAGCAACCAAGGATTCTTCAGGTATTGCTGATTTCTCGTCACCAAAAACAATTTTGAGCTTGAAGCTGATGCAAGTCAACTGCTCCTTATCCGTATCTTTCAATATTATTTTCACAGAATACATACCCTGTAATATAAATTTCAAGATTCAGAATAAAATTGGATGATCGGCAGACCATCTGAACAAAGATGGGTGATCAAAGAAACTTTTGAAAGTTGTAAAGCAGCAACATGACATGTTGGTAAAGAGAGAGCATTAATCGACAAAACAAGACTTACTGGTGGCGTAAATGGAGGTAAGCTTTGAGAGTGGGATAACGAGAATTTTCCAGGTTTAACAGGACAAGAAGTTGCTTCACAAAGATCATGACTTTCGGAATGTATACGCACGCCAAATAAAGAAACCTCGACCTCGAACTTTCCACCGGACAGATTTTTCTCTGCATGGAACAAATTATAATTGTTAGATGAAATGCCAATAGCAGTGCCATCCTCTACGTCCCAGTTAGGCAGCCTAGTTGGTGTTTATAATTTCCCATAAGGCTACCACCATCTTTATTTATGGTAGAAGAGCATCTAATCAGATGCTTATAGGAACAATAACTAAATAATACTATATCAGACCAGTTGGTTTCATAAGAGGGATTGCACCTGCTCATTAAAATAAAAATGTAATATCACCTAGCTTTTACTGGATTGTCTTACTGGATCGTCGTTGAAGTCTTCTGAATAAATTATAGTGCAATAAAATATGGTTACTAGAACAACTAAAAACTGGTGCAAAATATATAATATTGCGGGAAACCTTCGATAAAGATGTTTAATTATCAGGATGCTGCACATACACGAGGAGTTTCTAAACGAGGATAAGAATAGATGCAAATGAACTTAGCTGTCAGAAAGTACATATTGCCTTAACACTTCCCAGTAAGTTCCACATGATGTCAGGGAGATTCACAAAGGATTTACAAAAGGTATGAAAAATATATTCCAATTTTCTAGTTGAGGGCTTGACGCAGAAGGTCTGTCTCAAGAACAATGCTTAATTCTTTAGCAAAAATGATGAGGAACAAGAACATTCATTGGAGAAAAAAAACATATGCACCTATGGTTGACTAAGAAATCCAACTTTAAACCAGCAAACTAAACAACAATGTCAGAAAAAATTTATCCACAAAAGTAAAACACTTATGAGAGATTCTGAAGGAAAACTGGTGATCACAAGTGCACACACCACTTGATAACATTTCTCATAACATAAGACCCTTAAGTTTCAGTTTCATCATTTGGATATTCACCAAAGTCTGTAATCATACACAATGTACATCATCAATTAAAATTTTCCAAAAATCATAGTAATCCCTCCAAGCAATTCACATGTAGTTTGTCATTGTCTACGAAGTGTGTCACTTGGTCCTTCATCACATGTCAACCAATCACCCTTTGACAAATGGGCTTTCACTAGGAAGACCGAAAGTACAATTAAGAGGAGACCATTTAGACCTCCGCTAAACACAAGGATTGGAGTGAGCAAAAAAATTCAAAATGAAGTGCTCCGAGAATTAGTGTGGAAAAACAAAGGATAAACCAATGTTTTCTAAAGCATGAGGCACGCTAAAGTGCAATAGCTCCTACTTTCACCTCCACTACATCCATTCATCCAGTTAATAACTTTTTCGGATTTGCATAGAGCATTCGTGCATGACCAAACATGGATCTCAATCTGAGTTGAGATGATTAGATCATTGCAAGGCTTAAGGTGTGTTTTTGCGCACCAGGATTACAGTTGACTTCTTCAAATTGCTATAAAAATCTAACAAGATTGCTTGAATACTACATGTCATTGGGGTTTTCCACAAATATGAAAAGATGAACACAAAATAAATAGCTTGAAAAGAAGTTTAAGATCCATATCAAACACTTCAATTTCAGTCCATAGCTGAAGGGCCAGAGGAAACCTCTCCAATCAGTGTTAGGCCATAGCTACAATAACAATTTACAGCGCATAACAAACAGCCATAATTAGGTTTCTGGTACCCTTAGTCCTTACCAAATATGAATCATAAGCCAAAAGGTAAGGTGAGAGAGAGTAAGCAGATTAAAATGAAGAAAACTAATTGGAGCATGCAAAGGACCAAAGCTTACCAGTAGAGGCTGAAACGGCAAACGTGGCAGGCTTCCCACCCTTCACTGGATAAGGAGATACTTTAAGTCCATCGACCTTCACAGGATAATTACCTCTCTTGTCTGGTCCCAATTCACAATCGAACATCAATTAATCAAAAAATAGAAAAATCCAGAATACAAAACAGTCATAAGTTCCTTTTCCTCGGATAATTTCTTTCTTATCTCGAATCAAGACGATCGGAAACCAAACAACAAAAGGAAGGCGAACTCGTCCTTAGGTTATTTCCGACAAAATAGAAAAGTGAAGAAATTGAAGGTTGAAAGAGAGAAACTGACCGCAATAGTCGAATTTGGCAGCGAAGATGGCAGGCAAGAGTAAATGAACCGCGAAGAGAAGAAAGAGGATGCGACTGAACATTCGCCCGTCCATAATCTCGTGGATGATCGGCGTTGAAGGGCCGATCTGAAGGGAAATGGGTGACGATGAAGAAAGAAGAAAACTCCACGACGAGCGATAGAAAAATACATTATAATGACGGCAAAATGGACCAATAAAATACTGCCATCTGTTGGTACCTGCAAATTATTATTATTATTATTTATTTATAACTAAATTAACAAAACTATTTATCAAGCTAAATATCCATATTTTTATTTCAAAAATACCCTTAAATTTTAAATTTTAAAATTTTTATTAATATGGAAAAGAAAATGTCAAATTTCTAAATGTTATATTATTTATATCAAGTCCCGACAAAGAGATTCGTATCAAATTATTAAAGCATTTTAAAGAAACAAAATTAAGGATAAGAACTAAAATTTAAAAAATAGGATAAAAACTAAATTTAAAGACTAAAATACAAAATATATATATATATAATAAAAATAAATAATAGAAATATATTTTTCTTATTTATTTTTTAATATATATATATTTTTTTTTTTTCGAAAGACTTTTAGTAAGATGTTCCCAAGACGGGATGGATCAAAGTGAAGATTCTTACCACAAAAATAATTACTTAAGAATAGCTTTCAACTTAAACATAAATGCACACTCTAGATTCGATTACATGATCTTTGCAGCTACTCCTTGATCGGTATAGGAATGATTATAAAGGACCTATCTTTTCATAGGTGTAACCAAGGAACAGGAGCGTGGTACACCTATGAACGGGAGCGTGAACCCACCCAGGCGGGTGTATACATACCCCCTGAGCATTCTCTTTAGCTAGCGCACGTTTACATTGCTGAAGTTCTCGCAAATCTCCGATGACTTATTGTAAAAGAATGTAAAACATTTTAATATAATCTCTTTATTGACGGTCGAACTATGAGAATGTGATTGATTTATATATTGTGTATCAGTATTGGCACAGTCAAAATCCACAATTAACAAGATGGGAGTTCGTCAACCATTCATCCCCAAACAACCCACACTACCATTTTTAGAGTCAAATTTCACGTTAATTTCATCTAAAAAACGGATCACTGCTGGGCACACTGCACTCGCTGAGGCCCGCCGCCGTGCATGTCTTCATCTTCTTCGTGGGCTTCGCCTTGCGCCTGATGCTGCTTCCTCCGCATCTCCTCTTCAATGTTGACGTCGTGCATGGTCGTCTCCTCACATTCATCCACCTCCATGTCCGTCAGCTTGGATGATGATGGTTTTGATGGCAACACAGTTTCCAGAGCTTTCATCTGCTCTGCGCTCAACGACTCCGGGAAGTCTACACTGAAATGGATGTAGAGCTTCCCTTTCATGAATGGCCTCTGGTACACTGGCATTCCCTCGTCGTTAATGGCCTTGAATGAATCTGGAGTTTCATACATTTCCCAAATCTCAGTAGGACAACGACAGGAAACTAAATTCATAACGTTAAACCAATCTCTGCACAGCTCTTACCAGGCTTTACAACTTCTCCAGGGTTTGTTTTGATGAGCAGCTGCCTGCCATCCAAGTGCGTGAGCGCAAACTGGAAGCCACCGAGCGCTTCAATGAGCGACAGAGTGTGCTCCACAAACAAATCATCTCCCTTCCTCTTGAATTTTGGGTGATCCTTTTGCTGAATAACAAAAACTACATCTCCAGTGACAGAATCAGGCTGCACAATGAACAAAAAAGGATCAAAAAACAATGCATTGATTGACTTCAAATTCTAATTCTAATTCACAACATACAGCTTCATCGGCTTCTCCTGGGAATTTAATCTTCTGTCCATTCTGCATACCCTTCTCTACAATCACTTCCAAAACCTTCTTTTCTTGTACAACTTTCTCTCCCTTGCACTGCGGACACCGGTCCTTGTCGCTGATTGTTTCTCCAGTACCCTTGCATTCATTGCAAGGCTGCTGCATCTGCTGGATCATCGAAGGCCCGAGGTGCCTGATTGTTACCTTCATTCCAGTTCCTTGGCAGCCAGAACAGTTCGTTGAATCGCCAGATTTTGATCCCTTACTGAAACAACCCCACCATCAATAAACATCACCACAACAAGACTGACATTCAAAAGAGTGCGAGAAAACGGGCTAACCCTTTGCATTTGGAGCAGAGAACATTTCTGGATAGAGAGAGTTTCTTAGTAGTTCCAAGGTAGAGATCCTCAAGGGAGACCTTAAGGGGTTTTACCACATCCTCTCCCCGTCTCTGGCGTCTGCCCCTGCTGCTACCACCACCTGCATAAGAACAATAGGGTACATAATGAGTCGCTAAAATCCACGTCCCACTGACTGTTGAGGATTGTTGGGAGGGAGTTCCTAATTTAACGAATGATCGTGAATTTAAAGGTAAGGAATACATCTCTGTTTTGGGAAAAGTCCAAAGTATGCTCAAAGTGAACAATATTATACGTGAGAGTCGTTATTCCTAACACGGACCAATTTCGAGGGAAGACAAGCTAAAAAATCATTGAATTTTCTATTTGAGAGCTCACAAGAGCTCTGTATCTCCAAACATTGCAAGACGGACAATGATTATGAAGTAATGCATTAAAAATCACATGGTTTTGTCCATAACACTGACCCCCGAATGGGCTTCCGCCAAAGAAGGATTGGAAGATATCGAAGGGGTCATGACCACCTCCACCGCCCATTCCTTCTTTAAGTGCGTCCTCCCCATACTGATCATAAATCTCTCGCTTCTCGGGATTGCTAAGAACCTCATAAGCTTGAGCCAACTCTTTAAACTGCAATAACAATGGCGTATTCCGTCAGAAAATACGCAACCCATCCCGTCAATAGGAGCTCAAACGACTTATAACGACCATTATAACAATCAGCAGTAATTCTCAAGCAAATTTGAAATTCGAAATACCATAGCAAGAACCTAAACCACAAGTTATATTAAGAAAACAAAAGTATCAGTATGTTCCGAGGTCTGCTCATTCAGAGACTCAAACTCCATGGCAGGAAATGGCGCTAGAGTGAGAAGAAAGGGGGAAAAAAACCCTAACAAACATAGCAGTCTCGTAATCCATGGTAATCTCTACATTTTCTAACTCCATGGCAGGAAATGGCGCTAGGATCATGATCGACGACGAAACCCACAAACAAAACCAGTGACATTCAACACCACCATATAACAGTGGAAACACAGATTAACTGAAAAATAACTTCAAAAAGAAGTAAATTCTTGACCACATTAATAAAAAAAACTTCTATCAACAAAATGCACAGCCAGATTCAACAGAAACTGAAAGAAGACAGACAATTCAAAACAAAACTCCGATTACCTTCTCCGGATCACCGCCCTTATCAGGATGATTCTTGATGGCGGCCTTCTTGTAGGCCTTCTTCAAATCATCCTGCGACGCGTTCTTGGACACTCCAAGGATCTCATAGTACCGCATGCTGTCGCTCTTCTTCGAAGCTCTTCCGAACATCCTCGCTTCGCTTCAGATGATTAAAACCCTCCTCCTTCGAAATCGTTCGAAAACCGATCGGAATTCGGAATCCCGCTTTCGTGGAATCAAAGTTTTGAGCGATGAAACGAAGGTTCTGGGCACGAAAATGCCAAGTTGTTTATACTTCTTCCTCCCTTTACTGAAAAAACTGTTGGAAACTTCGAATTTATTGAGGGAAAGGAATTCTGACATGTACGGTTGAGATGAAATCCAATCCTCCGCGTTTTGCAAAAGAACGGTCTATAATTCCTTCTTCCGTTTCGCAAGATGTTGACCGTTGGATGCTGCACTGCCTTGCATGGGAGATGTTCTAGATGCTTCCTTCATTTCATTTTTATTATTTAAATATTCTGTTAAATTAGCTAGACATAAGATAATTACATTTTTTTTAATTTTAATAATATATATTTAAATCAACCAAAACTCAAATATTTGATAATTTTTTATTTTGAATAAATTTAATATTTAAACAATTCCAACGTGTATAGAAAATTTCTTAAGAATTCAATCTATTTTAATTATAATAAATAATATTATTATTTCATTTATAAAAAAAACATGTTAATACCCATAACTAACCGAGTTAGTTGGACAATGCGTCTATCATTTAACTTTTAACCTTAGGATAAGTAATTAAAATAAAGATAAATAGTATTATTATTATTTTATCGTCAAATTTCAAACAGAATAATACTAGCTCAAAATAGGATTGATCCTATTAAGGTTTTTCTTGACTTATTTACATATTATATTAAAATAGGACCGATCGAGCTAGCACAAAATCATAAGGACCATGGGCACACGTAGGGAGCCCCATATGAAGTTGACCCGAGCCTAGTCGTGGTCAACCAAGGGATTTGAGCATTGACCCATATTCTCGTATCTTCCTCTTTGGTGTACTGTTCTCTTTTCTTTAAATTGGTACGATAATCAAGTTACATTATAGAAAATATCCCTAAACTTTGATCTCGTTTCAATAATACTTCTTAAAAATACGTCTAATTTGAAAGAACGTTCAAAATTGCCTTCTTCATTATTAAAAGGAAAGTCATAATTTAAGAGTATTTTTTTATTATTTAGTTACTAATATTAGATTATAATTTATAATAACCAAAAGTATTAAAGATATAAATGAATTTTTCTAACATTTTTTTAATATTAGAAAAGAAAAAAAAAGTGTATGTTTTGATTTTTGGAGCTTTATACGAATCTTGGTATGCAAGTCAAGTCTTCCAAAAAAAAAGTATTGGAAAAGTCAATGGTCAAAAAGTCCGAAGATGTTTGGCCCACCATTTGGAAATGGGTCAAGTTACTAAAATACCCTCTTTAACCAATATAGTGGATAAAAAAATTGGAGAATCCAAAAAATTTAATAAACCCAACTCAAACGGTTCGACCTTACTATTTGAATTGACTCGGGTTCAAATAAACTACAAATTTATGAATATTTATGAATTGAATTGGTTCACGACTCTCCACAATGATATTGTCTACTTTGAGCATAAACTCTCATGGATTTGCTTTCAGCTTCTCTGAAAGGTCTCTTACCAATAGAGACACTATTTCTCACTTATAAACCCACGAACTTCCACTAAATTAACCAACGTGGGACTCACTTCCAATAATCCTCTAACAAGTCGGTGTGTCTTAATGTCGTTCTTTCATACTTAATTCATAGATAGTCATCTTAATCACCACCGCGTTGCTTTAAGGTCATCGCGGTGATTTTCTAACATTCTAATGAATTTTTACTTTTCGAGTAATTTAATAATATTGCGGCTTTTAAAAAAATAGAATATAAAATTTACGAGTATTTTTTTATTTAACCTAGCATTTTTCTAAAAAAATATCTCAATATATTTTTTTTTTATAATTTGATTTTTCTAATATTTTTCCTTTAACCTTTTTTCCCTCTAAAAATTGTCACCTTAATATGCTTTGCATATTTTTTAACTTTATGTCTCTTTTTCTAAAAAGAAATTCTTTTTATTAAAGTTTTTATTTCTCTTTATAGATTTTTTTTTCTTCAACTTATCTTGAAAGTATTTTGTCTTTTGCTCTCTAATTTTTTATTTATAAAAAATGATTTAATTGTTATTTTTTATTTTATTTAAATAGCTTTCCAACTTTTAAACATAAATTAAAACAATTATTTAAGATATATATATAATGAAATTTAGAGAATATATATATATATATATATATTTAATCCGACCTTAAAAATACAATATTGTTCGTTACAAAAAATTAACACAACTCTGTCGGAATGCAAAACATAATATGTTATTCTAACGACACTCGAGACTAAGAAAACTCAAAATCTCGCTAAGAGACATTATGTGCATTATAACAACCATCTTGGGCTGAAAGCTTTCTTCACGTAAGGAGACCTTAAAGAAATATATTTGATGGACTATCGTATAGATTCTTCAAGACTCATCAGAGAGCACTCTAATGATTAAAGAAACCTGCAATTTTCCTCCATCCCATGTCTCGGGACATATTGACCATCTTGACTTGTTCGGATACATCAATTGGGAACTGACCCATGTGCCAATCATCTCATCAGGACATTCCGAACATCCACCCACACTCGAGCATCAAACTCTCTCGTGTTTATGCTAAACCATTTACAATATACATTCTAGATAGCAAGTGTATAATCCAATCTCTAGCACATGGGTTAGGGCACAATACCAGCTTACCCATGTCATTTGGTATTGTCCTTGAAATACCATTTTCAAAGAAAGATATTCGAGATTATTCGTCTTGTGACGCTCACCCACGCTGTGTCATAGGGTAGCTCACTTAGGCCACGACCTAGGAGATTGTGAGACGTGGATTTACGTTAAAGCAGTTAAATCTAAAAGGAAACAACCCAATGAAAGCTTAACAAACAAATGTCTCAAAACGAGGCAAATTCAACTAATTCGGAAATGAATTCAATGTTACAAGATTCACTAATCATTCGCTCATGAGCTCTACTGATGAACTCTCGAAACTAGATCCCCAATCGTGTAAGAAACTGAATTGACCATAATTTTAGGTTAATTTCTTTCTCGAAAAGAGAAAAAAAAAACAGTAGAACAATTTCAATTGAAATAATCTGAACATAACGTTGGTGCGATAAACATACTCAACAATCGTGGTTGAGATTTCTTATCAACATACTCAAACCTTAAACTAAACAAACACTACACACACACACATATATATATACAAATACCAAAATTATTATATGAACAAGTTTTGATTTCAATTCATGGTTGAGAGGGCTACAGGGTATCCGCCAAGTGGGATCCGCATCTCTGACTCGAATTCAAAATGGAAGCGCGAAACGCCTCTCTTTCTCTCTCTCTCTCTCTCTCTCTGATTGCGTGATTTCTTCTTGGACTCACGCAACGAACACCCACATCCCCAAGTTGTCTAAAGTTCCCTTTTCGATTTTTGAAATTTTGAATTTCAACTCCGTTCTAAATGCCCTTTTGACATCGATTTCTGTGTCCTCTTAAATCTCTCATTACTCTTCTTTGTTTTCTTAAATCAGGCTTGCATTCTTCGCGTTCTTTCGTTTTTGTTTTCGGAAATGACGGGAATCGAAGATCGGCGTGTAATCTCTTTCACCTCTGAAAAATTTGCGTGTTTATTGGGGTTTTCGCTGTTGCATCTTTGATTCGATTGCAAGAACTTGCAGATGAAGCCATAGAGGAGGAAGAAGAAGAAGAAATCTGAGGACTCTACAAGGTTAGAAATCCCTTTTTCTTCCGTTTCTCTTTAGCTGTTAGCGATTTTTAGGATATCCGAGGAATGCTGTCAAATTTTTAGCTCAAGACATTAGGAATATAGCGGCATTTCTTAAGTTTTGTTTGGCTTTCCTCTTTGCAGGGTAAGAATGTTGTTGAAAACTGGCTAATTAGTAGTTTTCTTTTGCAGTCATTAGGAATATAGAGGCATTTCTTAAATTTTTTGAAGAAGGGGAAGATGATGAAGACACAAGGATATGTAAAAGGAAGAGCACCAACCAAGATGAACGCACAACAGTTGGTTTTTGAGTTGAAACAGAAGGTGGTTCTTGCACTAAACAAGCTTGCAGATCGAGACACTTACCAAATTGGGTATGATGAGCTTGAGAAAACAGCTGAGTGCATTGCTCCTGATATGATTCCCCCGTTCTTGTCCTGTATATTGGACATAGATTCAGAACAGAAGAGCGCCGTTCGACAGGAATGTATTCGGCTAATGGGGACTCTGGCAAAATCCCATGAAGGTCTTATAAGGCCACACCTTCGTAGGATTGTTGGTAGCATTGTGAAGCGGCTTAAGGATTCAGATTCTGCTGTGAGGGATGCTTGTGGGGAGACGTGTGGAGTTTTAGCTTCGAAATTGATTAGTGTTGGAGATGAGAGTGATGAAGTTTTTGTTACTCTTGTGAAACCAATCTTTGAAGGCTTGGGAGAACAACATAAGCAAATGCAGACAGGTTCAGCATTTTGCTTGGCAAGGATTATTGACAACACTCAGGATCCACCGGTTTCGATTTTGCAGCGGATGTTGGCAAGAACTACAAAGCTACTTAAGAATCCACACTTCATGGGGAAGCCGGCTGTAATTGATTTGAACAGAAGTATCATACAGGTTATTCTTTTTTCACACGTCTTGATTTTCTTTAACATTACGTTTTTAAGACCTTGCTACATACTTCTTTTTTTGTCTGCACTTCTAACCAAAGATAGGCGCATATAGGTTTTTATTTTATATCTTTTTGCGTACTCAAACTAGGTACATATCTGTAACGCCCCAAGCCCACCGCTAGTAGATATTGTCCTCTTTGGACTTCCTCTCAAAGTTTTTATAACGTCTGCTGGAGAGAGGTTCCTACACCCTTACAAAGAATGTTTCGTTCCCTTCTCCAATCGATGTGGGACCCCTAATCCACCTCTTTTGGGGCCCAACGTCCTTGCTGAAACACCACTCGTGTCCACCTCCCTTCGGGGGTCAGCTTCCTCGCTGGCACATCGCCTAGTGTCTGGCTCTAATACCATTTGTAACAGTTCAAGCCCACCGCTAGCTGATATTGTCCTCTTTGGGCTTTCCCTTCCGGGCTTCCCATCAAGGTTTTTAAAACTTGTTTGCGAGGGAAAAGTT